GCTTAGGTGATTGGATTAAAATGATTTCCTTGTTGGACTTAAGTGGAATTGGACCTAAACATCCAAGATTTGGACTAATAAGTAATTGGACTTGAATTTAAGAAAAATTGGATTTAAATAAAATAATTCGAAATTGATACTAAAATAATTATTCGAGATTGGATTCAATCGAATAGATTTGAATTCATTTTTATAACGGCTAGACGAACGCGTTTCTTTAGAAAATTAGGGTTACGTTTTAACGACACGTTTTTCGAGAAAATTAATTTATATAATTTAAAAGTTCGCGGTCGCTACAAACTCAATCCTAACCTTAATTAAAAATTGCAAGCAGAGGCCTCAAATTATGTAATTTGCAGCCCAAGCCCCCGTCCCCAAAAATTCCAAAACTAATCAAAGGGAAAAATTATGGTTTCCTCACTCCCTTGGCGACGTCGCCAATGGCCAAAATTGGCCGGAGGGCGGCGACCCCAGCTACCCCGAATAGTAGAGCACGCTACTGTTGTTACAGCAGCGGTGTCGCTGCCGTCGGCACCGGTGACCCAAAAAACAAAATTAAAAAAAAAAAATCAGATTTTTTTAAAATCCGAATTTTAAGAAGAAAACTTTAATAATATCATAATAAAATGCTAGAATCCATAATAACATGCTATATCTATAGTAATCTGATTCTTTGTATGGATATTATAGGATCTTCCAATTGATTGGTGGTCTTCACTTCAATTTTGCTCTCTATTGATAGGGATATAGAGAATCTCAAGAACGCACCAACAATTGTGGACCATAACCATATAAAATAATAGTAGTAATTGAATAGTCATTATCTACCAGTTGCTTCAAATTGGTCCCTCGTCAATTTAAAACAACACTCTGATCTCTACACTATATTTTCATGAAACATAATACCCATTAGTCACAAAACATCTTTAACGGATCACTTTAATTGATTAATATCCTGTAAATAATAGCAACACATATTTTAATATATTACGTGTGGCCCCAAATAGATTAGAATTTTCCAACATTAGGTCATAATTGTAATTGGCTTTATCCGTATCCAAAATCATGGTTATTTGAGTTGTAAGTTAAGTCAAAATAGTTTAGAGTTGGTAGAGTCCTAAAATGAGTCGAAGATATTCAAGAAGATCAAGAAACTGAAAAGACGATTACTTGTTGCACGCTAATATGATGCATGAGCGCTCACAACGGGAATAGCGCTGGTAGATAGGCATGAGGCTAACGCTTAAGCGGCAAAGTCATCGCTCACTAGGCACCAAGTGCAGCGATCAACTGGCGTAATTATTAAGGTAGAATTCTGATTTGATTTTAACAGTATTTTCAATCATATTTTATTTCCAAACACTACCTATTATAAATATACAAACATAGGTCTGTCCCAAAGGGTGTTGAATCATTATTTCATTATAGAGATCCTATTATTGAAGATACAAAACACATCCAAATATATCTAGATTCAACCACTTGATCATTGATTCATAAACCCATCCCTAACATTGTTTCATTATTTGTTGAGATCATTATAGAGATCATATTATTGAAGATCCAAAACACATCCAAATATCTCTAGATTCAACCACTTGATCATTGATTCATAAACCCATCCCTAACATTGTTTCATTATTTGTTGAGCCTTATATTTAGTCAAAAGATTATCCTTTGAAGATCAGTTACATATTCCAATATTTTCTTACCTCAATCACATATCAAAACACAGAAGATCTAAATATCAAACATTAAAAGCCCTACCTTCTCCTATAAGCCTTCAAAGTCCTGAAATTGGGAGAAGAGACGCTTGAAGTTTCAGCACTCCGAAACGAGTTCATTATTGGTGATCCACGCAGATAGAAAAGTTGCCCAGGGTGGTTGGAAAGTATGGGTCGTACAACCAAATAAGTTCCTTGGTAATTTACAACTTAGGTGGTTAGAGTTAGCTAAAATTTAATGGTGTTTGGACTAATTGTAAGCTGTAATCTGTTCTTCAAACAACTTCATCGAAAACCTATCCATGTGCTGTCATGCATCGTGACAATTTCTGTACATGGACCTCATACACTGTTGTGTATGTTGGTCTACAGCCTCACGTGTCATCTGCAGCAAAGATATCACCTCCGTTTGTTCACCAAATTTCTGGATTGGCCAAAAATGCGATTGCATGTTCGACCAGTTTGATTCCAACCTTTTACAATGGTTTTCTACATTGATTCAACACTGTTTTTCCACACCTCTATGCTCTGATACCATTTGTCGATGAAATCACTCGCCAAGACCTTTGAATTTTTTGGATCGATGATTCAACAATCACTTTTCTAATTCCTTCTTATTTATTTTAGAAATCATTCCAACATGATGAGTATCTATTGATGTAGTGCATAAAAGGATCTCCAATGCATTCTTTGGATTACTATCAATGTAGTACATACGTTAAAAGATTTTTTAACTTTCCATGTATGTGATATTGATGTATATTAAATAAGGACTTAAGTCTACAATTAGGCCCTAACGTATTCTATGGATTACTATATAGGTGTTCCTTCATTTCTTAAAGTAAAAAATGCTAGATTTATATATTGTATTGGCGATTCTGTGAACAAAATGACCAACTTGAACAATTATAAAAGTTTAGGGACTGAATTGTAAAGTTTCATAGTTGGTAGGTTAGCTTAGGGTTCGGGGTTTCATGTTTGGAACAAGAAGGATTCACGTCAATTTTTCGCTAGCTGCTCATCAAAATGATGCTCCGAGCGGATAAAACAGAGACATCATCGCTCGACCTTCGTCCACATGTCGCTCGAGCGACATGCCCTTCGCTCGAACAAAGTATGCTCCTCACTCAATCGACCATGTTTTTCAGCCAGACCTAATTTCGATTTTCAAGACTTTTTCTTGGCCCATTCAACCTAATTCGTCCAACATATAAATAGAAGTGATGCGTTTTCTGCGAACAAGAGATTGAACACTTTATATTCAAGAGAGAATTCATCTTACACAAGATCAAAAGTTCAATCATTCAATTNTCTAAAACTTGGAAGCTACAGGAGGTAGATCGAAAGATCTAGCAGGATGGCTAGATAGTATCTACGGTAGCAAATCACAAGGCTGGAATGAGCAGCAGATCTTGGAGTTTCAGGGTTTACAACAGCTAGTGGAACTACTTTGGAATTGAACTGTAACCCACATCGTCTATAGTGGAGGTAACTTGGATAGTCCAGGAGTTTTTACCTAGTTGGGGTTTCTCCGTCATCATATTGGTGTTATTTATTGATTTTCATATTACAAATTGTGGTAATTCAACTTAAAATAATTGGACTGTTTGTTTAACCGTTTAGAAACTATTAAAAGTGACTTGTTGCTTTTGATTAATTAATTCTGCATGTAGGGTCAAAATTAAAAACAGATAATTAATAACTATTCGGTACAAAAACAAAATAATGTCTTAATCAGGATAAGAAATATAAATCTAGAAATGAAATTACTTTCATAGATCCACTGTCTAATGGAACTTCTGAATTTGGACAGGGTTTGAGACATTGTCTATTTTTCTTTGTCGCGTTAGTATAATTAAGTTTATGTTAGTTTGCATTTGAAATGAATTTTTAAAATACCTTTTACTTTTACTTACGTGACACGCGTTTTTAAGCAATTGCATTGAAGATGCTCTAATATTTTTTTTCTTGCAATTAGTATATATTAATGGAACACAGAAGAAAAATAGTGATAATAAAATACCCTTAAAAAGCATATGTTCCACACTCGGTGCTTGATAATATTTCATTTCATAACACAGTTGATAACATTTAAACTTATTCACTAGTTCTCCTTGTCCCAGTTTGTCAAAGACACAAGTCACACAACTGACTCCAAAGATTCGAGGACTCCATCCCTCCGCTCGCCCTCGTAAAAACAAAAGAAAAACAACATTCAAACTTATTTTTCTTCTTTAATGATTTCCTAGACAGAAAATCCATCCTGTATTTCTTGCTGTTTGTTGAATGCCTCAAAGTCTCTGATTTTAAAACTAAACTGCGGGTTTTTGAGGTTGTAATTCGTCCATAGCAACATCTTTACTGTTTTTTTCTGTTGTTTTGTACTTGTAATACTTCGCACAAATCAAGAAGTATCCCAAATTGATCACTTCTAAACCAGCAACCATGTAATAGAAGTAATCCAATCTCCCTTTGTTGAGATCTTCAGACAACCAATTTTCTGCTTCTCCCACTCTCGTAGTCCCATGAACAACTGATATCAAGAAACTGCTCAAATAACTCGCCACTGCGGATTCACAAAACACGAAAGATCCTGCAAAACTGCGCATGTTTTCTGGGAACTGTTTGTAGTAGAATTCGATTAGTCCAATGACAGTGAATGCCTCAGAAATTCCTGCTATTGCCAATTGAGGTATCAACCAGCAACCAGACATGGACGAAATGGAGCCTTTTCGAGGCACAAGGCCTAATGTTGGACGAGTTAAGGCCAACGTCCTCCTATGATTTTCGACTAATGCTGATACAATCATTGTGACTATAGCAAGTACCATTCCAATCCCAACTCGCTGGAGCAGACTAATGGGTTCTTCCTTTCTTGTGATTCGTCGGAGTGAAGGAAGGATGAGCCTGTCGTAAAGAGGAATCCATATTGATAGGCTCAACATCATGAAAATAATGTAAGTTGCTGCAGGGATTCGGAATTTGCCACTCCCTAGGTGTCTGTTGCTTTGAATGGCTTGAAATACTACATATGACTGCATTTGTGCTATAATAACATAGTATAATATGCCTGAAATCCATATGGGAATTACTCTAATCACACATTTTATCGCTTCCACTTGCTGGATGCTGCAAAGACACCATGGATTGGCTGCCGATCCATCTGTATTGATCTTGTCATTGGTTGTGATTATTGCCGCTTTATTGAGGAACCTGAATTATAGAACACTTGATTAATGTTTGTTATGCAATACTCGACTACTATATAGTCGACCTTATCAGACAAGCCATAAAAGTTCATTGACTAAAGGTTGTTACCTTAGTTGGTCAGTATAAGGAAGCTTTGAGTTGATTGAATTTGGTGGAACGTAATTAAACAGATTACTCCAAGGTTGCTCCGGCAGTTTCAACTTTCTCTTCTTAAATGCAACAACTAGTACTTGTGCCATACTTGTCAAGGGACTGCCTTCAGGCAATACTTTGACATAAATTCTGCTCCCAATGAAGAAGAAGGCGACGGACAAGAACATCAGAAACGCTGGAATGCCTAATCCGATAGCCCAATTCACATTGGATTGCACATAGACGATGAGTGTCAGAGATATCATCATGGCAAAAGTGAAGGAGAAGTAGTACCAATTGAAGAAGCTGTTGATCCCCTTTCTCCCAGAATCTGTATTGGGATTGAATTGATCTGCTCCGAATGCTAAGTTACAGGGTCTAATGCCACTAGCCCCGACTACCAGCAGTCCGAATGCATTAAACAATAACGCGAGTTGCCATGTTGTTGGATCAACACATTTATTACTCTTTTCTGCTTCACATTTAGGAGGATGTAGAGCTGAAACTGCTGCAGTCACTGTAAGTACAAGCATCCCCTGTATAATTAACGCAAAAAATACTCGAGTTTGAACAAATTTATGTTTATTCTAGTTCACAGAATGAAGGATAATGAACAGAAATTATACCAGGAAGGAGGAAACTGAAGCAATTCCAATGGTCTTATATCGTCCTAGATAGGTATCGGATAGAAAGGCACCAAACAACGTTCCAAAATTGCAAGTCCCATTGAAGATATTGATGAGATTAGTGGCCGAAATAGAGCTCATGTTGAACACGGTAGTAAGGTACACCAACATGTTAGAAGATGTACCAATGGTTCCCAGCTTCTCAAATGTCTCATTACCTGCAAGGTTTTCCAAAAATTGTCAAAATTAGTAAAATTTTTCACAAAATTCATGAAAATAACTAGATGCAATCTTAGTCGAGAGAGGACGAGCCTGCACAAAATGCGACTCCAAGAAATGATCATATAATTCAGATTTAGTATAAAATAACAAAACATAAAACTACGATTACTACATTTTTTGTGGAAATTTACCCATAACAAAAGGCATGGCTTTGACTCCTCTATAATTAGGCTCTTTTTTAGTAACAGCAACTTCATTTTTCTGCATGATTAGAGCAAAAGAACACTTTTTTCTCTCTTTTCTGATAGTACTAAATTCTACTTCTCTTAGGTCGTATCTTCTTTTATGAATGGCACAATGCAAGAGAGCGAGGCTAAGGCTATTTATAGAGGGGGAACATGTTAGTACAGATATACGAGGCCAAAATCTTTGAACAAACTGTGAAACTTAGGACTGATATTTATGTTTTCGTGAACAAATTGCGATTAAAGGCAATGCCTACCAAAGAGTGAAATGAAAACATGATTCTAATTTTTTGTTTACGAAGTTATTACAAGTTTTGGTAACAGTTTTGAGGGCTTTTTAGGTGAGTCCTATGTCTAATTAATGGATTTAGGTAGATGGAATTAATTCTAGCCATAGGAGATTACAATAATATATGTATAAAACCTTCTAGAGTACCCATACATGTTAGAAAAATAATGCTATTTTGTCTCATTGATTGCCTACATAGACTGATTATGTTAAGCACAGAAGAAGCAACTGATTATGTTAAGCACAGAAGAAGCTGAATAGCATTACTGGAGAGCTTTAAATAACCTTTAATGTGTCTTTAATGGGTAGATTGGAGTTCCACACATCAACAATCTTGGACTATTTTATATAGAGCCGCACTTTTCTAACCGTATAATTTAATACATCAATAAACATAGACACGTACGTGCCAGGGTGGTCTATACAAGTCAAACGTTGAATTTGTTGGAACTGGACGGGGTTATTAAATGGTTTTAATGAAATATTTTTACACTTTTTAGGTGAGTCCATTACAAATTAATGGTGTAAATTATGTGGTAATTAATCCTTACCTACTCAACAAGATGAGATTACAAAGGTACGGTATGTTAAGTTGACTAAACGGAAAATTGTGTGACATAAACTTACCATTCCACAAAGATAGATTTTCTTTCCTTATCCGTGTTGATAAGTAGGGCTGGACAAAACTCTCGAAGCGAGTCGGACCGAATCGAATCGAGTAGTTCTTCTTAAGTTAAATACCCGAACGGGTATTTGAATCGAGAACCAACAGACTTGGTTCGATTTTCGATTCTAGACCAAGAACCGAATAAGAACCAAATCTCCTTAATTGTTTATTTTAAATAAGTCAAATTATTTTACTTTTTGAATAAATTGTTAGCTAATTAATTTAGTCTAAACTCAAAATATGATTTTAGTATTTCTAATTTTCAGTCAAGCTCAACTTAATCAAATTAGCACAAGTTTTACCCAAATCTCTTATATTTACCGTAGTGTCATTTCTACCGTTCTATTATTGTGAACTAGTCATATTCTTCTTCCCGTGATTTTACCAGTCAAATCTATGAAGAACTCAACAAAAAGATATGCAAAATATATCACGAGATTGAACTATGTTATTTTGTAAGAGTTAAGATTGAATATGTTATAGTCGAATTAATATAGCGTTGTTGTAATGTAAAAAAAAATTAATTATTGTACGGAATCCCGAAACCGAATAGAACCAAACCCGATCGGTTCCATAATTAAATTTAGACCCGATAGTTCCATTTACTAAATACCCAAAAATTTCGGGTTTGGTTCGGTTCTCTTTAGAGTCGAACCGAACCGGAACGGATCATGCCCACCCCGATTGTTAAGTGCGTTTTACACACTTATTTAGGTAACAAAATACAGACAATTGTTGGTAAATATATCGAAAAACGACTTTAATTCTATATAAATTATGTTTTACAAGACAATATTGATTAATATAGTGGAATTTAGGAGAAACAAGCAAAATCATACTAAAATGGAAGTAAATCAAAGTTTAGGGACCAAAGTCAAAATAACAAAAAGATTATTTGGAAGAAGAAATGAAGATGTGAAAGAGTCAAAGACCAATTGAACGAAAGAATGAAGTATGGAAGAAAAAGCAATAAAAAAGATCAAGAAACAAGAAAACAGAGTTCGATGAGTACGGAAGAAAAAGCAATAAAAAAGATCGAGAAACAAGAAAACAGAGTTCGATGACTGAAACAAAAAAATTGGTTATTTGCCTATGTTGTAGCACAGTACATTTATCCATGCGGTCACCTAGTAGGCAACATGAATTTTCAGGGCTGAAGTTGGTTGAACTATGTTATAGCATGCGAATGAACTATGTTATAGCATAGTACATTTTCGAAGAAAATTTTCTGGTTTCCTTATATCACTTCAACTCTTATGGAAACAATATTTGGGACGTGGCCATCAAGAAACATATTGCCATGCATTAAAACGCAATAGAGAGCATAGAAGACGGCAACAAACATCAAGAGAGATTCTAGACATAAAGATCCAATCAAGATTCATAATTCGGGTGATGTCTGCTCTATATAATTCTTGTTTTCTTCTTCATAACATATTAGGCTAGATTTCATTGTGTTAGAAGAATGATGAACCTTGTAATATGAATTTTTAATCTTTAGTTTTACATATTTAACGTTGAAAACACATTTTTGGATTTTGAATGATTTAGATGATTATTTTTTCACTACAATTATTGTGCACGATAATTGTATGAATTTAGTGGCTTATTTTTTACATTCGAAAGAAGAAAAATAGGCTAGACATAGTGTAAATTGTCATATGGTCCGATAGGGAATAAAAATATATCGCTATGCGCTATGTGAACCTTTAAGTGTTCATAAAAATGTATGCACTCTTGTATGTTCGCATTTGTCATAAAAATATAATCAAGTCTTATATAAAATAAGTTGAACATTACTTGAGAAAAATTGTTGAATAAAATAGTAATATTGATTCTTCAAAATTCAATCGTGTTGTCAAAATGTAGAATTGAGGTTAAAAAGAATTGTTGCATGAGATTTCGGAATCCTAGTACGCTTGTCATTAATTAAAACACATTAACTTTCATTTAACATAATTTGCATTTAGTTTAATTAATTCACTCATAATTGCATAAGTAAATTATTTTAGTTATAATTTTATCGCAAACAAATACATCACATTATTCTTGTTTCGATTAAGGTCGCGATAATTAAAATTGAACTAAATCAATCTTTGTGGGACGATAATTAGATTCAAATTCACTGTATTACTTGTTAACAAATCATAGACTTGCGGTGGTTTTAATTCAAAAAAAAATTTTCACTTACACAAATTATANTATTTATTATAAACTTTTTTTTTTTTTTTTTTTTTTTTTGAGAATATAGATGATTTTTTTTATTTTTCTAATATATCCCTATTTAATATGCATTATTATCATCAAATATGAACTATTCTTGTGTATACTTAATGTAGAAGTATATTAGAAAAATCTAAAATTTATTTTATTTTTCTAAAATTTAATTTAGTACTTCTTTGCTAGATACCTTGAAAGTCTATTTTATACATTTATTTAGACATCTATCCTTGTTTCTTTATTATGAGTTGGGGGGATATCTACCTAATTTAAGCGTGAATATGCTAATTATAGGTAAATTCCCAACTTGAAAGCATTTGGATATGGGTTGCATGAAAAAGGCATTTTAGGAGCTAATTTGAAGTTGATTCAAACCAATTGATAATCAATGGACTGCAATTGAATTAGAAGACTTATGACAGCAATCTTAGGCGATTCACAAGTTTTGGGTGCTAAATCCATGATTAGAAAACATTGGAAGCTTAATTGCAAACTCTCGAAACTTGCATTGGATCAATTATGAGGAATGTGGAGGACCCAAATATAAAATTTAAAATGAAGGATCCAAGATGCAAAGGGTAAAGAACTCGAGCAGAACCAAAGAAAAATCAAGGACCAAAGTGAAAGGGTGGCAAACTTTATAGTGTGTGATTGGAAGCTATAAGCATTGCAATCACAATGTTGCCCAGTTCAATAAAGAGAGTAATTGACGTTGCTTGTGCGATCACACCTCATTACATGGTGCAATGGCAATTCTTGGCCTGTAAATACAATTCTTCATCTACAAACAAAATGGAGGAACATAGATAAATACCGAATTCGTGACAAAAAAATGTTGTCGCATAAATACAAGTTTTGTTGCAAAAGAAATTTAGCGACAACAAGATGTATGTTGCAGGCGTTTGCCCAGTACAATTAAGAGAGTAATTGACATTGCTTGTGCGATCACACCCCATTACATGGTGCAATGGCTATTCTTGGCCTGTAAATACAATTTTTCATCTACAAACAAAATGGAGGAACATAGATAAATACCGAATTCGTGAAAAAAAAATGTTGTTGCATAAATACAAGTTTTGTTGCAAAAGAAATTTAGCGACAACAAAATGTATGTTGCAGGCGTTGTTGCCCTGTATGAGTCACAGAATGTATTCTGCGACAACTTTCAATCGTTCATCGAATACACAAATTAGCAACATTATTTGTTTAACGCAGATAGTATGAAAGAGCAACAAAATATTTGTCATCATAATGTCGTCGTAAAACATATGTCGCAAAAAATAAAAGAGTGACTAGTCAATTTGTCGCATCGATTATTACAAAAAAGTTTTTGTGGAATATATATTTGTTGTGAATAATTTTTTGAAGGTATAACATTTGTTCCCTATTCCATTTTGCAACAAAACATGCTTGTCGAAATATACATTTTATAAAAAGACACGTTTGTCGCATAATTTGTTTTGCATTTGATTCGTTGCAAAATATGTGAAGATATTCAATATTTGTAGTACAATTTATTATGTAATATTTTATGCTTGTAGTTAAATTTGTTTTGCATCACTGAGAGTTTGTCGTTTCATCATTTGTGCAACGATGTCTAGTTGTCGCCTAATTTATTTTGTTATTATTTATATATCGCACATTCTATTTTATAACAAATAAAATTTTTATGCAAATTATTTTATGACAACTAATATTAGTTTATGTGACAAGTTGTGTTTGTAGCTAAATTTATTCCACAACAAAGAGAGTTTGTCGCGTTATCATTTGTGCAACAATTATATATTGTTGTCTAATTTATTTTGTGATAATTTATATATGTCGCTAAATATATTCCATAACACAT